CATGCTAATCAAGCTGACTTTTGCTAATAACTTAGCACAAGGATGAATGTCGGATTTGGGAAGAGGTATTAAAAGACTAATAATTTATGTGGTGGACTGTATATTTATATTTTTTATTCTTTGAAAACCAGCTGTTGTCAGCTGACCTGTACTGATGCCACCTTGAGGTTTTCTGGTCTTTTAACCAAATACATTCTACAATACAGGCAGATGTTACATGAGACATCGTGGCTGCTTTCCGAACTCCAGGCAATGTAAAACTAATGTAAAGGTGGAATTTGGCAAGTTTTACTAAAGATATAATACCAAAGTTTTTCTAGAAGAAATTCCTAGCATAACTGGAAACCTTGGCAGTTTTTTAGAAAAATACTCTACATTAGCTTTAGTTTTAATGGTCAGTGAGACATAATGAACTCTATATGTATAGAGTATCTGGTGTAATCTGATAGAAATTTCTTCAATTTGCCGATCGTTCACATAAAATACGTTTTTAATTCTTCGAATAGCATCTCTCACTTTTATATGTACCAAACTGAGCAGTGACCATGGATGTAACAGTCTGTTGTGTACCAGTGCAACATAATCCATCACTGTAAATTATTAGCCTTCTCTTTCTGACCTTTGAAGAATGTAAAATTACTATCATTTAATTTGTTTTCCGAGCTCTTCATAAGTAGAGGTTGCTAGATGCTGAAATACTGCAATCACAACTTTACTGACATTTTTATGAGAGAATGACAAGGATGAAATGCGAACAGTAGGTGGAACCATGTGGTGACTTAATGGTCTCTGTGGGAGCAGCTAAAAGGTCTCCTATGCTGCAGAACACAAAATTGAACTTGCTTGAGTTTCTTATGCCTTAAAATTGTTATTTTACTTAATAACTTGTTCGTTGAAAGCATTCCAAAATATCAGCAGCTAAAATGCTAAATTAAAGCTTTAAAACTGGATTTCACTAACTAGTGGGTAAAATCTATTTTTGTATATACAGTAATGTTTTGTATCATGAACTGTACAGAATAGCACAACATCACCCAGTTATTTTTGATGGCAAATCCAAAACCTGATTACTTTACAATCCTTATTTTATGTTTTTGAAATTACATGTCCCATTTTCTTTCTTTCTTTCTTTCTTTCTTTCTTTCTTTCTTTCTTTCTTTCTTTCTTTCTTTCTTTCTTTCTTTCTTTCTATATAATGTGAATTTAGGTACTAAGCCCATATATACATTACAAGAGTCTTTGCTGAGTTAAAACTTCAAAGAGGAAGGAAGACTTTTTAAAAAAAAATAAATGTATGTATGTTTGTTTTTATCCCATTTTCTGAAGTAACTTTTTACTTTGTTACCTATTTTTAGTGGTAACTTGCTGATTTATTTGGGACTGAAGTTGATTGAGTAATCAATTTTTCATGAAGTAGAAAAGCAAGTTGCACATGAATACAGCACACTGCACTATTTACTTATTTGTTACATTTTTAAATCCTCCCCAATTTCGCATGTGAGATGATGAATGAATATAAATCCTTGGAAATACACAGACTGCAAATCACACTTACGCATGAATAATCCTTTCATTGTTTTTTCTATAGTGATTCATTACTTTGGAGATTGGCCTGCAAGTGGGGCTATTCTTTGATGGTCTATTAGGATTGTGAGTAATTATCCCTTGGTTCCTCAGTTCCTTACAGACAGAGAGAGAACTCCCGGGAACCACATGACGTAAATCAAACCCCCAGCAGAATAATAGCCAACAAGCTACATATGAAAACGAAGCCCTCACCACCATAAGGGAGCACTTTAGGAGAGAATATTAGCTTAGTCACACAATAGTATTACTGGGCTCATTACCCACAGTTATGCACGGGATGTTCAGTATGTATTTCCTATTAATCATTTCAAAAGTAATAGTTCGGTGAGCACAAGTTTCTTACATTACTCATTACAGTGCATCACTACCCAAATGTTGGTAATAATCACTTGTCTGATTCCAAAATAAAGTAGAAAACTAATAGGACTACAGCGTTAGAGACACAAATAAGTCCACTCTCATTTAGTCAAATTGTTAATCTAAAAAAAAAAGTCACCCACCCTGGCTTACACAATGTCAAAAAACTTGTCATTTTGGTAATTGCCACCATTTATTCCACGAAATAAAAGCTTAATTTTGACACATGAATTAGAGGCTTTTGGTGAGGTACAACCCATCACTGGTTAACAAAAGTGGTCAGACAAAAAGTGCCAAAGCAATTGTTAAAACAGTAAAACAAGTTTTGAAAAATGTAGTTTATGCTGTGATCATTTTTTCTGTTTAGTTTTACTAACAGCTCAGATAGTAGAAAATGTCACCCTGTATGAGAAAAAATATAAGCTATAGGGAAATTGTAACTTTGAACGTTGGTGCCCGCATAGCATGAGCAACACTGAATGCATAAACATGCTCTGTCTATTAAACAATGCTTTGTTACAGATTTATGTGAAACTAAATATATATATTTAGTCCTAACACCCCCACGTCCATGCTGATTTAATCTGTAGAAGGTTTTTTAAAAAATGTATTTAATTAAAAATATAAATGAGCAAACGTTTACTAGAAATATAGCTGAAAACATGAAGCCTATAGAAAGGTAAGAAATTACTGACTGTACATCTGAACATATACAAATAAATACACAAAATAATGTTTTCCTTTTTTTGGCCACATGTCTTAGGATACATTATTTGTGTATTAGTAGATGATCATTTCTTTCTTTCTTTTATAACCTTTGTGTTTTCTACTAAAATCTTTTGTGTTTACATCTTTAATAAAATAAATTTAGAAAAGAAAACTATATTAATTTATACCAGTAGAGAAGTTTTAACCAAGTAAATGGAACACCATTATATAGAGCACATTATGACAAGCCAGACAGCTACGCATCTTGCTTGACTATCTATATTTTTATTGCTGCCAAACCTCCAGTCCACATGGACAGTCCTGAATTTGGAGTCGTTTGTTGTCTTATGATCTGCCAAATGAAAGCTGGAGCATTTTAGCCTGCAGCAAACTAATGCTAATAAAACTAGCTGTTGCCCCATGTGATCCATAAATCAGTGTTAAAGCTTTAAACAGAATTGTGTTTATCAACTGCTGTGAAATGCAGACTTGAATTATTTACCTTGCATCACCGCATCATGTGGAGGTGTTTCAGTCTTTGGGTCTAAACATCTTGGCCTTGCAATATTGGTCATTTATTCTAATGGTTTAGATGTTTAGAAGGTGCTCTATGAAGGAATTAGTCTTTAATTGGTCAATGAGTTAGCTTAGCCTCTTTTCTTTCTTGACCTTGACCTGTTTTTTTAACAGTTAGGAACATCGATTGATTCTGAAATTACACTAAGACCTGCGACAGCTCATTTCAAAATGAGTAAATGTTTCGTCCTCAGCAGCTGCTTGTGAAACCACTTATCCTTGTTCTGATTCGCTGTGCCTGTTTCAATTGATTTTGATCTTGCGTTTACATGAATGATGCCTTATTAGACTTAGACGAGTGCTATTGATTGGTCGTGTAATTGAAGCCTTCTCCCTTTTATTACTGCCTGTTTTTCATTTCCCACAAATACTAATCCTACTGATAGGGATCAATACGTATCAATAACACAGTGCCCATCCCTCGTTCATGCATTGTTGCAAAAAAGAAAAAAAAATGTTAGCAACTGTGATGGAAGTGTGATGCATTGGCTTGGTTTTTGAGCTTGGTTTCTTATGTGTGAAAGCTTGCAGCTTATTAGACATAACAGTCTGTCACTTCATGTTGGAAAAAAAATAATCCTTACATTAGAGTTACAAAAGTCTCACTGGAAAAGTTGCTGAAGCTACAGCATGACTACCTATATACGAATCTGTTGTGTTATACATTTATTAAACATCATTTACTTGATCATAATTTGCATACTGTGATAAAAGCACGGTCCAGACCAAATCGAAATAACAATTAAGCTTCATTTTATTAAAGCAATAGTGTATAACAGTACTTAACCAAGGCACTTTAACAAATCGTCAGGTAATTGCGAGCAGCACTGGTGAAAAGCAACACTTCAAGTCACAGTGCAAAAAGGCAGGTGAGAGAGAGGTCAAGTAAAAACCATCGATTAACACGCTTGTGGACGTCACAGCGAGGGCAAGCTGCACATGTAAGGGCACAGCCCAGATAATAAAAGCCAGCTCCTGGTTGAGCAGATATTAGATGATAAGACAGGTGAATTGTTCTGAGTGACGCCAGAGGCCCCTCGCAAGCAAAACGATTCTTTCAAGTCCACAGCCCTCTCAACCCCCAAAAGAGTTCAGGATGTACTTCACACACCATTACGCTCAAAAACAAGATGGCAACCAAGCGTGCAACCTGTCAGTTTTGCCCACTCACTCATCCAGGTATTGTAGAGAACGGCAGCTTGCTTTATTTCTGTTTTTTTATTTTTTTATTTAAATAGAAATTGTTATAATTTGTGCATTTTTAGAGCAAAACTGTACAGGATCTATACAATGGCTTGGGCTTTTTACATTTTTCAAATCTGCATAATGAGATGAAGTGGAAGACTTTTGCCTATTTTTATACATCAGAAGCGTATAACTCTTGTGTGATGTTCTTTTGGCCAGTTTGGGGTGGTAGCGGTAGTGGGGGGTATCTTGTGGTAGCTAAAAAGCTTTGAAGTCCTGTTATATGAGGAGCCAAAGCCTAGAGGGTGGGTAATTACACGCAGATTCCTGCAGTGCTCCACGTGATCTCAAAAAGCTTGTACTCCACTGCCCTCATGAACACACACATCAACTCAAAGTGAAAGGAACTGGCAGATTCTTTGAAAAGCACAAAAACAATTAATCCTACTTCCAAAAACACCATGCTTATACACAAAAGTTTAGCTCTATATTTACTACATTGATGGCACAGAGCTGACTCAGACTCCAGTAATAAAACTCCATCCATGCATCTTTCTAACATCCAGTTTCTGCCCTTAACACTCTAGTGAAATTCCTGGGTCACAAAGTCTACAGCTATGGCCAGCTTCTCTTCATCACCTTTGCCTCTGAGACCCCCGAGCTGCTGCCCGACCACATCGCCCTGGTCCTCGAGGGCTCTGGAATCACTCTGTCTGCTGACCTTTCATCCCAACCAGTGCTTGGTTATCACCCTGGCCTCACACCACGGCACTCTTTCACCATCAGGTACAAGACCGCACTGAGAGGTTTCATAATTTTTGAGTGTTTGAATGTGTTCTAGTTTTTTGTCCCTCTGGAAAATATCAAAGTCTTAGCTTGTATGTTGATATGTTTGTTTTGCTTTGAATCTGTGCATCTCCCTGTCGCCTGAGTCACAAGAGTATATCCTATTCAATACCGATTACAGCTCACCCACGTTGACTTTGCTGTCACCGTCCCAGCAGAGTGTCAGGATATGAACGCGGTGATGAGCCAGCTACCTCATCCGCTGGCTGTCATGTAGATCTGGCACACGTTGCATTTCCATTTTTACATTTTATACATATAGCAGATGGTCTTACCTGCAGTGACATGTAATATGTGGAGCAGAGAAAATGCATCCAAAATTCACAAAAGTGATACTGATAGTAATTCTATCGGGGTCAAAAGGTTCAAGGTTCAAGGTTCCTTATTTGTCACATGCATAGTTATACAAGTATAACACACAGTGAAATGTAGCCTGACACGCTCCTCGACATGTG